ATGTATCAATATTCTAGCTTCCGACACAGTGTATCAATATGTATCAATATTCTAGCTTCCGACACAGTATGTATCAATATTCTAGCTTCCGACACAGTTTGTATCAATATTCTAACTTCCGACACAGAGTATCAATATTCTATCCGACAAATATTTCAATATTCTAGCTTCCGACACAGTATGTATCAATATTCAAGCTTCCGACACAGTTTGTATCAATATTCTAGCTTGTATGTAGCAATGTTCTAGCTTCAGACACGGTATGTAGCAATGTTCTAGCTACCGACACAGTATGTAGCAATATCCTACTGCCGACACAGTTTGTATCAATATTCTAGCTTCCGACACAGTATGTATCAATATTCTAGCTTCCGACACAGTTTGTATCAATATTCTAGCTGCCGACACAGTATGTAGCAATATTCTAACTTCCGACACAGTTTGTATCAATATTCTAGCTTCCGACACAGTATGTAGCAATATTCTAGCTTCCGACACAGTATGTATCAATATTCTAGCTTCCGACACAGTTGGTATCAATGTTCTAGCTTCCGACACATTTTGTTTCAATATTCTAGCTTCCGACACAGTATGTAGCAATATTCTAGCTTCTATTCTAGCTTCCGACACAGTATGTATCAATATTCTAGCTTCCGACACAGTATGTATCAATATTCTAGCTTCCGAAACAGTATGTAGCAAGATTCTAGCTTCCGACACAGTTTGTATCAATATTCTAGCTTCCGACAAAGTATGTAGCAATATTCTAGCTTCCGACACAGTATGTAGCAATATTCTAGCTTCCGACACAGTATGTAGCAAGTTTCTCGCTTCCGACACAGTATTAGCAAGATTCTCGCTTCCGACACAGTTTGTATCAATATTCTAGCTTCCGTCACAGTTTGTGTCAATATTCTAGCTTCCGACAAAGTATGTAGCAATATTCTAGCTTCCGACACAGTTTGTATCAATATTCTAGCTTCCGACACAGTATGTATCAATATTCTAGCTTCCGGCACAGTATGTAGCAATATTCTAGCTGCGACACAGTATGTATCAATATTCTAGCTTCCGACACAGTTTGTTTCAATATTCTAGCTTCCGACACAGTATGTATCAATATTCTAGCTGCGACACAGTTTGTATCAATATTCTAGCTTATGACACAGTTTGTATCAATATTTTAGCTGCCGACACAGTTTGTATCAATATTCTAGCTTCCGACAAAGTATGTAGCAATATTCTAGCTTCCGACATAGTATGTAGCAAGATTCTAGCTTCCGGCACAGTTTGTAGCAATATTCTAGCTTCCGACACAGTATGTAGCAATATTCCAGCTTCCGAAATTGTATGTAACAATATTCTAACTTCCGACACGGTATGTACATGTAGCAAAATTCTAGCTTCCGAAACAGTATTTAGCAATGTTCTAGCTTCCGACACAGTATGTAGCAATATTCTAGCTTCCGACACAGTATGTATCAATATTCTAGCTTCCGACACAGTTGGTATCAATGTTCTAGCTTCCGAGACATTTTGTTTCAATATTCTAGCTTCCGACACAGTATGTATCAATATTCTAGCTCCCGACACAGTATGTAGCAATATTCTAACTTCCGACACAGTATGTAGCAAGTTTCTCGCTTCCGACACAGTATGTATCAATATTCTAGCTTCCGACACAGTTTGTTTCAATATTCTAGCTTCCGACACAGTATGTATCAATATTCTAGCTTCCGACACAGTACGTAGCAATATTCTAGCTTCCGACACAGTATGTAGCAATATTCTAGCTTCCGACACAGTATGTAGCAAGTTTCTCGCTTCCGACACAGTTTGTATCAATATTCGTTCTTCCGACACAGTATGCATCAATATTCTAGCTGCCGACACAGTTTGTATCAATATTCTAGCTTCCGACACAGTTTGTATCAAGATTCTAACTTCCGACACAGTGTGTATCAATATTCTAGCTTCCGACAAAGTATGTAGCAATATTCTAGCTTCCGACACAGTATCTATCAATGTTCTAGCTTCCGACACAGTTTGTATCAATGTTCTAGCTTCCGACACAGTATGTAGCAATATTCAAGCTTCCGACACAGTATGTATCAATATTCTAGCTTCCGACAAAGTATGTAGCAATATTCTAGCTTCCGACACAGTATCTATCAATGTTCTAGCTTCCGACACAGTTTGTATCAATGTTCTAGCTTCCGACACATTTTGTTTCAATATTCTAGCTTCCGACACAGTATGTATCAATATTCTAGCTTCCGGCAAAGTATGTATCAATATTCAAGCTTCCGACACAGTATCTATCAATGTTCTAGCTTCCGACACATTTTGTTTCAATATTCTAGCTTCCGACACAGTATGTATCAATATTCTAGCTTCCGGCAAAGTATGTATCAATATTCAAGCTTCCGACACAGTATGTAGCAAGTTTCTCGCTTCCGACACAGTATTATTCTAGCTTCCGACACAGTTTGTATCAATATTCTAGCTTCCGGCAAAGTATGTAGCAATATTCTAGCTTCCGGCACAGTATGTAGCAATATTCTAGCTTCCGACACAGTTTGTATCAATATTCTAGCTGCCGACACAGTTTGTATCAATATTCTAGCTTCCGACAAAGTATGTAGCAATATTCTAGCTTCCGACACAGTATGTAGCAATATTCTAGCTTCAGACACGGTATGTAGCAATGTTCTAGCTACCGACACAGTATGTAGCAATATCCTACTGCCGACACAGTTTGTATCAATATTCTAGCTTCCTACAAAGTATGTAGCAATATTCTAGCTTCCGACACAGTTTGTATCAATATTCTAGCTGCCGACACAGTTTGTATCAATATTCTAGCTTCCTAACTGGCGACAATTTATACAGCAATACTGTTACGACACAGTATGTACTCAATATTCAATACTAGATTAACTTCCGACACAGTTTGTATCAATTTTATTCATTTGTATTTGATTCATAATATCACGAATATTTTTTTTTATTCTAGTTCTAGTTAGTTTTATTTACCAATAAAAACCTAAGTATAGAATGTGAATCACCGATATATGATTACGGCAATGAAAATACTGCATGTTATTGTGGATATACCTTTCAATAATACAAATTACCGTTGAGACATGATTTCAGTAATGCTATTACCGACATGAGTTACGCACCTGTCTCTTCTGGTATTAACCTTTATTACTTTCATTCCAACAAGTGATTTCAAATTGAAGCAATACATGTAATACTAAATATGTAAATTTGAGAATTGCACGACAATTGACATCACGAGAGGATAATGGGTAATTCAGGTGTGTTTGATATCTTGTTGATTCACACACCAGGTCCAAAGGATTTACATGGCGACTGCCGTCGATGACACGGAAGATGCTTACTCTTGAATTTTGGAAAACATGGCTTTATTTTCCTTGCTGTTTTTCAACAGTTTAAAGGAAATCTCCCCTGTTATAAACCTTTTGTTTCGCGCTCTAGTTTTATCGAATTGGTGTTTGAATTATGATCCTTAGAGGAAGGAAACTCAGGCGTGTATACATACGGTCCTTAGGGCAGAGAGACGGAATCTTGTAGTGAAAATAGATAGCAGTATTTAAATCATTTCAGTTTACCTGAAGCGTTTTCATCGTACTAAAGCATGTGTGTGATACAGGTCTAATGGGCCTCTTGTATTCAATTTCGATCATCTTTCAATGTTTCTCATAAGGTTTCTTTTAATGAAATATAACTGGAATACTGTGGTATGTTTCAAATTAATTAGAAATTTATTGTAGAAATAGATTATCGAAATTACACTATGTTAAAAAGAGCATGATTTACATAACACAAAAAGTTTCCAACAAATGAAACAAAGAATTTACAACATAATTCAAAAGCCAACATATAGATTTAAAAACAAGGTAACACTGCTTGCTTCAAACAAATAAAATAAGGTATTTACAAAATAATCTACTGAGCAATTTCAAACGTAAAAGACGACGAGTATAAAACTGCTTGCATCAAACAAATGAAACAATATATTGACAACATCTACAAATATTTACGACGGAATGTCTGTTATTAACAGGAATGTACTATTTGTTTATTTATTGCTATTTTACTAGTTATACATCAAACATATGTACTGTCAAACGTAAGTATTACAGATCTAATTACTCGCATTACACACACAATCCTTGTCATTATAGACTTAAAAATCAAATGTGAAAGTATTCATTCTAATGTTGCCTCTCTTTCTTTTCTTTAAAGATACAAGCTCTTTCATTATCCAAATATTCATCCTCATAGAAATAGATTTGTATAAAAACTGGATGAAAAATGAGAATCGCTGTTTGAGATATGGTAATGAAACCAACAAATTTTACCCAAAAATGTTATAAATTGTTTGTTATTCATGAAACCCTATCAATTTTCGCACCATCGAAATGGCGATACAAAAGTATCCATTAAGGCATGTGTTTATTGTAGAATAAATACAATTTGTTGTACAATAAACTGAAAGGTTGGGATAGAAATAATATGTGGCAGTGCTTAAATACATTAGTCAAAAGATGATAAACAACTGGTATCAAATACCACAGTGTTTTGTAAACATGGCAAGAGTGATTTGAACCGTTTGGGTAAGTATTTGAAATGATAAACACGTCCTTTCATTGCAGATATTGCTCCGATACCAACGCGCTATTTTCTTTCCAGAGAGAACACATCGTTGTGATTGTCCCCATATGATGTCACTGACTCCGATGTCTGACCATACTATATTTTACTTTATAATTAAACACTTGTGACGTCACTGACTCCGATGTCTGACCATACTATATTTTACTTTATAATTAAACACTTGTGACGTCACTGATACTATATTTTACTTTATAATTAAACACTCGTGACGTCACTGACTCCGATGTCTGGTCATACTATATTTTACTTTATAATTAAACACATGTAATGTCACTTACTCCGATGTCAGACCATAATATATTTTACTTTTGTCCCATATAACGTCTTTGGTGATAATATATGTATAATACACGTGGTGATTGTGGTGTGATGAACGGTTAACTGACAAAATTATCAAGAAACATCTTTTAAAAAAAATTTAAAAATTATTATGCTAGTTGGTTGGTGTCATGAAAACTTAAAACCAATTGTCATCATTCTGTAGTGTAATTCTGTCTGAAAGTCACTTTTTATTATAAATCACAACCAAAAATTCCTGTTTTCGTAAACCAACCTCTTAATTATGACCATATGCCGAAATGCCGACATAGAAAGCAGTGAACTTGTCCAGAAACATTGTTCACGTCGATGTCAAATTCTTACTCTTTTTTAAGTCTAGTATTAAGATAGTAGTTTTCATAACAGCTGCTAACTTGTCGCCCTGTTACGCTGAATGTTTTGGGATTACCTCCCGCTATGTTAGGGTGGGACCAGAACAATTTGAAACCCTGATCATTTAGATTACGTAATGCGTTCAATTTTGAACGATGGCTTTCATTCGGATTGGGCTCTCCATGAAACTCGAAATCCAGCTGTCTGACGTTCTTCAACACTCCGGTCGCTAGCATGTCCGGAAGAGCTTCCCACTCTGAGGATTCGATATCCATTTTGAGGATATCGATAATTTTCTTCAAAAGGGAGAAGAAAAGGCATGTTATTAATTTCTAAACTACATAATTTTCAACGGTAATATTAGTGTCACTTAAGCATTCATACACATATACGAAGTGGCCGAATACGAAGTGTACACTCTATATGGAGACATTCTAATCAAAACCATACGGTAATTCATCTAGAAATGATAATCAAACATGTGTATCAAATGGAAATATTTTGAAGATCAGTATATCTTGAAGGTGTAGATCCCTATACTTGTAACCAATAAGAGCTTCAATAGTTCTTGTTTTCATCAAAACCGAAATCTGACAATCCCGTTTGGTTTATATGCCTCCCCTAAAACCGTATTACGAGAAGAAACTGTTGCTGTTTTACAAATTACACAAATCAAATCCTTGTGAATAACACAGATCTCAGCTTCTTTAAACATGGCAAAAAATAACTAATTGACTGGTATGCATAATCACGGTTTGCAATGATTGTGAACTCAGTTTCTTTTGAAAATAAAGCATGGATAGTAAAAGGAGCAGTCTGGATTAAGACTGACAGACAGAAGATCGTCGTATTTAAGCCAGACAAACTGTATTGTTATATGTTATTTCTATAAAAGGGGGTAAAGGTCAATCCATGTATTCTATTAAATGATAATAATTCAAAACACAATAAAAAGACCAATATATCATTAAGTAAGGCATTAGAGTTATCAAATTGTGTCATCTATTACATAACGCTTATTCAAGAATGTCCAAACATCTCTAATATCACGTAACACTAACACACTACACACTTACCCCACAATATCCAGGCATCTCTATCATCACGTACATGTAATACTAACACACTACACACTTACCCCACAATGTCCAGGTCTCTCTATCATCACGTAACACTAACACACTACACACTTACCTCAGAATGTCCAGGTATCTCTATCATCACGTAACACTAACACACTACACACTTACCCCACAATATCCAGGCATCTCTATCATCACGTAACACTAACACACTACACACTTACCCCACAATATCCAGGCATCTCTATCATCACGTAACACTAACACACTACACACTTACCCCACAATATCCAGGCATCTCTATCATCACGTACATGTAATACTAACACACTACACACTTACCCCACAATGTCCAGGTCTCTCTATCATCACGTAACACTAACACACTACACACTTACCTCAGAATGTCCAGGTATCTCTATCATCACGTAACACTAACACACTACACACTTACCCCACAATATCCAGGCATCTCTATCATCACGTAACACTAACACACTACACACTTACCCCACAATATCCAGGCATCTCTATCATCACGTAACACTAACACACTACACACTTACCCCACAACATCCAGGCATCTCTATCATCACGTAACACTAACACTAATACACACTTACCCCACAATGTCCGGGCATCTCTATCATCAAGTAACACTAACGTCCTATACACTTACCCCACAATGTCCAGGCATCTCTATCATCATGTAACACTAACACACTACACACTTACCCCACAATATCCAGGCATCTCTATCATCACGTAACACTAACACACTACACACTTACCCCACAATATCCAGGCATCTCTATCATCACGTAACACTAACACACTACACACTTACCCCACAATGTCCAGGCATCTCTATCATCACGTAACACTAACACACTACACACTTACCCTAGAATGTCCAGGCATCTCTATCATCACGTAACACTAACGCCCTATACACTTACCCCAGAATGTCCAAGCATCTCTATAATCCCTTTGAGATTCATCATGTTCCAGTTTCCTTTCTTTCCTTTAGGCCTGCCCCACAATCCAAGATTATGAAATGTTATTTTGTCCGATCGCTTATGATCTGGCTTTCCTATACTTCAAACAAAAACAAAAACAAAAACAAAAAATGAATAAATAAAATAAGGCCGATAATAATTTCATTTGAAGGCGATTGCTTAAAGTGTAACGGTATCAGTGTAGGTTTAATTTTCTGGCGTGTTATCGATGTCAATTAGATATATTCTTGAAAACTTCAAACCCATGATGAGACCGTGTTTTTTATATCCGTCGCTTACGCTGTATCTTTATGGATGCTGCTTACCATGATACATGTTTTCAATGTCCTCAGACTACATTATCAATGTCCTCAGACTACATTTTCAATGTCCTCAGACTACATTTTCAATGTCCTCAGACTACATTATCAATGTCCCCAGACTACATTATCGATGTCCTCAGACTACATTACCAATGTCCCCAGACTACATTTTCAATGTCCCCAGACTACATTTTCAATGTCCTCAGACTACATTACCAATGTCCCCAGACTACATTACCAATGTCCCCAGACTACATTATCAATGTCCTCAGACTACATTATCAATGTCCTCAGACTACATTATCAATGTCCTCAGACTACATTATCAATGTCCTCAGACTACATTTTCAATGCCCTCAGACTACATTATCAATGTCCCCAGACTACATTTTCAATGTCCTCAGACTACATTATCAATGTCCTCAGACTACATTACCAATGTCCCCAGACTACATTTTCAATGTCCCCCGACTACATTATCAATGTCCCCAGACTACATTTTCAATGTCCTCAGACTACATTATCAATGTCCTCAGACTACATTACCAATGTCCCCAGACTACATTACCAATGCCCTCGGACTACATTTTCAATGCCCTCGGACTACATTTTCAATGCCCTCAGACTACATTATCAATGTCCTCAGACTACATTATCAATATCCTCAGACTACATTATCAATGTCCCCAGACTACATTATCAATGTCCCCAGACTACATTTTCAATGCCCTCGGACTACATTTTCAATGCCTTCAGACTACATTATCAATGTCCCCAGACTACATTTTCAATGCCCTCGGACTACATTTTCAATGCCTTCAGACTACATTATCAATGTCCCCAGACTACATTGTCAATGTCCTCAGACTACATTACCAATGTCCCCAGACTACATTTTCAATGTCCCCAGACTACATTATCAATGTCCCCAGACTACATTTTCAATGTCCCCAGACTACATTTTCAATGTCCTCAGACTACATTATCAATGTCCTCAGACTACATTACCAATGTCCCCAGACTACATTATCAATGTCCCCAGACTACATTATCAATGCCCCCAGACTACATTATCAATGTCCCCAGACTACATTTTCAATGTCCTCAGACTACATTATCAATGTCCCCAGACTACATTACCAATGTCCCCAGACTACATTACCAATGTCCCCAGACCACATTATCAATGTCCCCAGACTACATTATCAATGTCCTCAGACTACATTATCGTATCTTATATCACTCCTATATTATATACATTATATGTGTTTACTTTCGCAAATTGTAAGATAATCTAGTACTTCTGCCCTTGATCACGATTTACATGAAAGGTATCCTTGCAGACAGAAGCAAGAAATTAAGGATGATGAAGACAACCCAGAATTCCTATCGTCCGCATTATGATCTCACCTGGAACCATTCTAAAACGTTATCCATCCTAAGTCAAAAGACGTTGTCACTCTCTAGGATAATGTACATCTGCTAAGAACTTGAGTGTTCACGATTGAAAATCGGCCTATAAGTCAGTTTTTAAGCGTATTGAAGTCGTGTGATTAAGATTACTATTTAGCTTGATCGTGAATAAATGATGATTACCTTGGATCAAAAGAATGAACTTCACAACCATAAATCTTGGACACTTCATCATCAAACGACCAGTCCCCGGCCACTCCGAAAGAGTAAACGAGACAAGGTGAGGAAGGTCTGTATTCTGTGTCGTTACAAACATCCCATCCCCCGTCATCAACGTCTCCTATACGAATCACGTGCTTACAGTGTACTTGTGAAGACACCAGCAGGCTGTTTAATTATAAATTGCACAATCAATCAAAAATCCTATCAATCCTATTCTATCCTATGCTGTCCTATCCTATCTTATATTATTCATTTTCTGACTGTGGAACCAATATACTCGAGATGATGACTTCCCTCACTGTTTTTATTGCACCACTGTATTCTCTTCTTGTTTATTATAACACTGTTCAATATGGTCCCATGGCTATAAGATCTTATTGTTAATGATTAAATCATTGAAACGAGTTCTATAACTATATTCTCGAATTCTTTGCTTATTACAATATTGAGGCTGTAGAATAAAAGTTCTCGTAACAACAATCAGCACGGTCGCCTTCATCAGACAAATGACCAGTTTGGGGCGCACTAGCACCGACGTAAGTAGTGTACGAGATGGTATGGAATCGACCAACTTTTACGGCTGTACTATAATCCTATGTAAGCTAAGGTAGAACATAGTTTGACGAGATGGTAAACAGATTACAGTGTTAGTACGCTCCACACTGGTCATATTTCTGATGATGGTGACCGTGTAGTCATTGAAACATCACACTCTAATCCTCTACTGGTTGTGTTCTAAGATGAAGTTGACCGTGTAGTCATTGAAACATCACACTCTAATCCTCTACTGGTTGTGTTATAAGATAAAGGTAAAATCCCTCCATCATCTTGTTTAATCATTATAATATTGAATCTGGTAAAATCCCTCCATCATCTTGTTTAATCATTATAATATTGAATCTGGTAATATCACTATATCATCTTGTTTAATCATTATAATATTGAATCTGGAGCTATCACTATATCATCTTGTTTAATCATTATAATATTGAATCTGGTAAAATCCCTCCATCATCTTGTTTAATCATTATAATATTGAATCTGGTGAAATCCCTCCATCATCTTGTTTAATCATTATAATATTGAATCTGGAGCTATCACTATATCATCTTGTTTAATCATTATAATATTGAATCTGGTAAAATCCCTCCATCATCTTGTTTAATCATTATAATATTGAATCTGGTAAAATCACTATATCATCTTGTTTAATCATTATAATATTGAATCCGGTAATATCACTATATCATCTTGTTTAATCATTATAATATTGAATCTGGAGCTATCACTATATCATCTTGTTTAATCATTATAATATTGAATCTGGTAAAATCCTATATCATCTTGTTTAATCATTATAATATTGAATCTGGTAAAATCACTATATCATCTTGTTTAATCATTATAATATTGAATCTGGTAAAATCCCTCCATCATCTTGTTTAATCATTATAATATTGAATCTGGTAAAATCCCTCCATCATCTTGTTTAATCATTATAATATTGAATCTGGTAAAATCACTATATCATCTTGTTTAATCATTATAATATTGAATCTGGTGCTATCACTATATCATCTTGTTTAATCATTATAATATTGAATCTGGAGCTATCACTATATCACCTTGTTTAATCATTATAATATTGAATCTGGAGCTATCACTATATCATCTTGTTTAATCATTATAATATTGAATCTGGTAAAATCACTATATCATCTTGTTTAATCATTATAATATTGAATATCATATCATCTTGTTTAATCATTATAATATTGAATCTGGTAAAATCACTATATCATCTTGTTTAATCATTATAATATTGAATCTGTAAAATCACTATATCATCTTGTTTAATCATTATAATATTGAATCTGGTAAAATCACTATATCATCTTGTTTAATCATTATAATATTGAATCTGGTAAAATCACTATATCATCTTGTTTAATCATTATAATATTGAATCTGGTAAAATCACTATATCATCTTGTTTAATCATTATAATATTGAATCTGGTAAAATCACTATATCATCTTGTTTAATCATTATAATATTGAATCTGGTAAAATCCCTATATCATCTTGTTTAATCATTATAATATTGAATCTGGTAAAATCCTATATCATCTTGTTTAATCATTATAATATTGAATCTGGTAAAATCCACTATATCATCTTGTTTAATCATTATAATATTGAATCTGGTAAAATCACTATATCATCTTGTTTAATCATTATAATATTGAATCTGGTAAAATCACTATATCATCTTATTTAATCATTATAATATTGAATCTGGTAAAATCCCTCTATCATCTTGTTTAATCATTATAAAATTGAATGTGGTAAAATCCCTCCATCATCTTGTTTAATCATTATAATATTGAATCTGGTAAAACCCCCCTATCATCTTGTTTAATCATTATAAAATTGAATCTGGTAAAATCCCTCCATCATCTTGTTTAATCATTATAATATTGAATCTGGTAAAATCCCTCCATCACCTTGTTTAATCATTATAATATTGAATCTGGAGCTATCACTATATCATCTTGTTTAATCATTACAATATTGAATCTGGTAATCATCTTGTTTAACATTATAATATTGAATCTGGTAAAATCCCTCCATCATCTTGTTTAATCATTATAATATTGAATCTGGTAAAATCCCTCCATCATCTTGTTTAATCATTATAATATTGAATCTGGTAATCTATCATCTTGTTTAATCTCTGGTAAAATCATCTTGTTTAATCATTATAATATTGAATCTGGTAAAATCCCTATATCATCTTGTTTAATCATTATAATATTGAATCTGGTAAAATCCCTATATCATCTTGTTTAATCATTATAATATTGAATCTGGTAAAATCTTGTTTAATCATTATAATATTGAATCTAAAATATCATCTTGTTTAATCATTATAATATTGAATCTGGTAAAATCATCTTGTTTAATCATCTTGTTTAATCATTATAATATTGAATCTGGTAAAATCCCTATATCATCTTGTTTAATCATTATAATATTGAATCTGGTAAAATCCCTATATCATCTTGTTTAATCATTATAATATTGAATCTGGTAAAATCACTATATCATCTTGTTTAATCATTATAATATTGAATCTGGTAAAATCACTATATCATCTTGTTTAATCATTATAATATTGAATCTGGTAAAATCACTATATCATCTTGTTTAATCATTATAATATTGAATCTGGTAAAATCCCTCCATCATCTTGTTTAATCATTATAATATTGAATCTGGTAAAATCCCTATATCATCTTGTTTAATCATTATAATATTGAATCTGGTAAAATCTATATCATCTTGTTTAATCATTATAATATTGAATCTGGCTAAAATCACTATATCATCTTGTTTAATCATTATAATATTGAATCTGGTAGCTATCACTATATCATCTTGTTTAATCATTATAATATTGAATCTGGTAAAAATCACTATATCATCTTGTTTAATCATTATAATATTGAATCTGGAGCTATCACTATATCATCTTGTTTAATCATTATAAAATTGAATCTGGTAAAATCCTATATCATCTTGTTTAATCATTATAATATTGAATCTGGTAAAATCACTATATCATCTTGTTTAATCATTATAATATTGAATCTGGTAAAATCCCTATATCATCTTGTTTAATCATTATAATATTGAATCTGGTAAAATCCCTATCATCTTGTTTAATCATTATAATATTGAATCTGGTAAAAAAATCTATATCATCTTGTTTAATCATTATAATATTGAATCTGGTAAAATCCCTATATCATCTTGTTTAATCATTATCATCTTGTTTAATCATTATAATATTGAATCTGGTAAAATCACTATATCATCTTGTTTAATCATTATAATATTGAATCTGGTAAAATCACTATATCATCTTGTTTAATCATTATAATATTGAATCTGGTAAAATCCCTATATCATCTTGTTTAATCATTATAATATTGAATCTGGTAAATCATCTTGTTTAATCATTATAATATTGAATCTGGTAAAATCACTATATCATCTTGTTTAATCATTATAATATTGAATCTGGTAAAATCACTATATCATCTTGTTTAATCATTATAATATTGAATCTGGTAAAATCACTATATCATCTTGTTTAATCATTATAATATTGAATCTGGATCTTGCATTATAATATTGAATCTGGTAAAATATCATCTTGTTTAATCACTATATCATCTTGTTTAATCATTATAATATTGAATCTGGTAAAATCACTATATCATCTTGTTTAATCATTATAATATTGAATCTGGTAAAATCCCTCCATCATCTTGTTTAATCATTATAATATTGAATCTGGTAAAATCCCTATATCATCTTGTTTAATCATTATAATATTGAATCTGGTAAAATCACTATATCATCTTGTTTAATCATTATAATATTGAATCTGGTAAAATCACTATATCATCTTGTTTAATCATTATAATATTGAATCTGGTAAAATCACTATATCATCTTGTTTAATCATTATAATATTGAATTGTAAAATCACTATATCATCTTGTTTAATCATTATAATATTGAATCTGGTAAAATCCCTCCATCATCTTGTTTAATCATTATAATATTGAATTCGGAGCTGTCACTATATCATCTTGTTTAATCATTATAATATTGAATCTGGTAAAATCCCTCCATCATCTTGTTTAATCATTATAATATTGAATCTGGTAAAACTATATCATCTTGTTTAATCATTATAATATTGAATCTGGTAAAATCACTATATCATCTTGTTTAATCATTATAATATTGAATCTGGTAAAATCACTATATCATCTTGTTTAATCATTATAATATTGAATCTGGTAAAATCCCTCCATCATCTTGTTTAATCATTATAATATTGAATCTGGTAAAATCCCTATATCATCTTGTTTAATCATTATAATATTGAATCTGGTAAAATCCTATCCATCATCTTGTTTAATCATTATAATATTGAATCTGGTAAAATCCTATATCATCTTGTTTAATCATTATAATATTGAATCTGGTAAAATCCCTCCATCATCTTGTTTAATCATTATAATATTGAATCTGGTAAAATCCCTATATCATCTTGTTTAATCATTATAATATTGAATCTGGTAAAAT